AGGAATGTTAGCAGAGTGCCTGAGGCATGTTCTGCCCAAGAAAACAGTATCTCTAACTTAAAAGCAGTGACGAACCCAACAGCAGAGCGTTACCAGAACTCAAGTGTCACCCGCGAGAGTGATGCTCAGTTGTAGGTTAAAAACAGAGGTCGGCAACTGATAGCTTTTTCTCTTTTGCCCGTGTTTCTGAGGTACTGACAGTATTTCTCATCTCTCCCGGGGATGAAGAGTCAGTCCTGAAAAATTTTGTGAACCAAAAAAATCGAAGGATAAGATCTCTCTAGGTCAATGAAAATATTTTTCTTTGATAATTTCAAACTTCCTGTTTTGATAGGTTTTTCCTACAAGCAGCCTAATTCAGAAGAGAAAAGACCTTTTAAACTAAAACCCTGGGATGTGTCATTGAGGGAAATGTAAAAGCCAAACATTTGGACAATTTGGAAACGCATGTCAATTTTTTCAAGTTGAAACAACTTTGAAGCTAGCCTTGCCTGCGAAAAGTTAAATTGGCATTTTCCCACCAAACTCCCCCCGCCCGAGCCCTTTGCACTGGGAATTTTTCAGCTGGCACACGTTAGGCAGCGTTTCGGAAACCACGATGGGCAAATTCAAAGAAACTGCGTCAGAAGGAGCAGTTTGAGCAAACCTGAAATCTCACTGGTTTCTTGATTCGTTTTATTAACTGTCCCGGGAGCAGGTTTAGGGCGAACGCCTGTCGAACTGGTCAGCAGCCGGGCTTCCCTTCCCAAAGTGAGTAGGGCAGACTGGAGTTTTGGCTTCCTTTGCAGACGCTATAATCGGGGTCCTTAAGGAATGACTTCAAAGGCAGCCAGGTCCCCCTAAGATGTTAAAGATACCGATGAACCTCTACGGCAACTTTCAAAAGCAGCTAGCGTGATTAACAGTCTAACTCCTGACGGGGCCTTTAACCGCACTGGAAAATGGGACTTTTAGGCTCTTAAATTGTTTCCATGCTCTTGAAAAGGGAAAAGGCTCCTAGTCATCCATGGAGCTGGTTCTTCTCCATCAGCGGCCTTGGCCGAGAGAGGAAACCGGAGAGAGTCGGTCTAGAGCGCTGGCGGGGCGTGATGGCTTCGCAGCATCACTGCGCTCGGCGCGCTGGGCTCCAGCCCCGCCGCCGTGTTTCACACAGATCTAACAGAAAGAAAAAGTGTCTAGAGAAGGATATGGGGAACGACTGGAGGCACAGACAGATCTGTCCAAGAGGAGAGATTTGGCTCTCGCTCAGAGAGATAGTAATAAGCTTTGGCACAACTAATGAATGATAAAATAGGAGTCAATCGGCCACTCTTAATTATCCTGTTTTCAGAAGCGGAACAAGGGGACATCTAGCACTGTTAACACAGCCGTTACTTATACATCATTCTTTCTCCTTCTGTAAAACAGGGCATTGACTGTTAAACTTGGTGTCACATGCTTATACACGGCTTTACATTCCCCAGTGACGGCTGCAAGGAGTTTCCAAATACCGGCTCGGTTTTCTTCAGCTCCTCACAACTCGCCCCAGAAGAGACGACTGTTTAGGACGGTCTGCAGGGCAGTCGGAGGTGGGTTTGCAGCACACACCGTCCTCCTCGAGCTGGCGTTCCTCTCTCCGGTTGTGCCGGGGAAGGCTCGGAGGCGCCGAGCGTTCGGTGCCCTTCCCGACGCTCCGGGTTTCCGTGCACAAACGCTGGCCAGCCCGCGTGCTTTCTTTGGCCGACCGGGAGCTTGCTTGGCACTGTCGAAAACCTATGTCCTATGTTACTGATGTAATTGAAATTAAAACGCGCCTGAAGGACGCTTATCGCCAAACGTGCCCAAGCCTGGAGTCGGCGTCCCCAGGGCGAGCCCGCTGCCGGAGCCAGCGCCAGGCGGGTTGCGAGCGGTGTCGAACGGGTCTTCCCAAAACGATGGTGTGCAGCACATCGCTGAGACCTAAAGAGGGGGCTGAGGCTGGAAGCATTTGCCTTGGCTGTCAGACCCCAGGGGCTTCACTGACCTGGACTATTTTTCTTTCGGTTTTGGCTGCCTGGGGCTTTCCCAAGGGCTGCTCGGCAGAGCCCTTGGGGGGTGATCGCAAGGGACGCTTGCCCCAGGTGCTACCCACATCTGCTCTGGGGCTGCTCTGGCAACTCGGAGCAGCTCCAAAGAAAGGAGGGCCCATAGCCGGGGAGATGGAGAGGGATCCTGGCCAGCAAGACACGGTGCGGATCAAATTGCTGGTAATTTAAAAGGATTGTAGCTCTGTCGCGGCTCCGGGTGCGGAGGGCCCTGCTCAGGGGCAGCGGGTGGCAAACTGAAATCCCGCTCTGGGTAGTGCGCCCAGCGTGTCCCTGCTCACGACCGCAGCCAAAGGGCAACGCGGGCTGCTAGCAGGATTCAGGCCAAATGCAGATCCTGGAAAGAGGAAAACAAAAATGATCCACTCATAAAAGACATTTTGGAAATGCCCAGAACTGTCACTTAAGAGTAAGTATTCAGCTGGGCAAAAATGGAATGAGGAAAAACGAGGAATGAGCGCACAGCAAAGGACATCAGTATTTTTGTCTCTGGGGGCATTAATCAAAATACTGAGGTCTGGAGAATTCTTGTTAACACGGCAAACGCTGCATTAAAAAAAATACTGCAGGCATGAGAGTAGAAAGGAGGAGGTGGCAGAAGGAAGAACGCCAGAACGGTCACAGCAGGTTAGATCAAAGATGTCCGGCGTCCATCAGCAGGCAGCAGCAGCTCCTTAGGGAAAAAGCACAAGGGATGCATTACGTACGCAGCGCTCTCTCGCCCGCGCGCGCTGCCAGGGCTTCTAGAGCCAACCTGTCCCTGGCCGGGAAGGGAGCCGGGCGCGTGCAAAGCGCTGCTCGGGCACCGCTCGAACGCGACCTGCTGCGCCACGGGGCTCGTATTGCCCCG